CTTATACATCAGGGTTCAAAAGATTAGAAAAATAAGTTATCCATTCTTCACTAGAAATATTTGACCTAGGTATATTACATTTACTTATAACTGATTTTATCAATTTCCAAAATTTACAAGAATCACCAGTTTAAGCAACATTACATAATTCAGTTTTCTTATTATCTTTGTGTTGTTTTTGTTTAGTATCACACAACTTGTGAAAGTTTTGTTTTGTTTTAACATATTCTTGTAGTATGTCAGTATCACTAGTTGCTCGAAAATCATTTAATAGTTTACACTTTTTTCTTTTCATAGACACACATTCTGAATCAAGCCATTCCTGTTGTTTAATAGCACGTACACTGTGTCTATTATAAAATAATAAACCCGCTTCTGTACAAATATTTTGCAAGTGAGAGATTAATGCATTAGCAGCATCATTTGTATTGCTGTCCATTAATTCTAAAATATCATTTAAACAAGCTAAGGAAGTTGGATTGTCTAGTAGATCTTTGCACAATTGAGTTTTGTTACTGTTCCATTTGAATCGTATCTGTTTCTCATTACAATATTCGTCACCATTTTCAACAGGTCCTGTAACTGGAATATTTAAGCAACATGAAATTGGTAAATGTTTTGACAAATCAACAGGAAGTACAGTAAAATGTGATATCCATCTGAATATGTTATAGCTAGAAATGATATAGTCAATAACACTAGCACCACTTGAACACATATAAGTAAATTCTCCATCTCTATCACTTTGTTTGCGCCCATTTAATACATATAAATCCTTTGAACAAGACAGCTGTATCAATGATCGGCCAAAATTATTTGTAATTTTGTCTCTATTGCTACGTTTACACTGCGTAATATATGATTTTGAGTCGTGATCATTGTTTATTATGTACTGAAGACTATCCAGAATATCAATACCATTTGAAGTATTCTGATTGCTATAAACAGAGTTATTTGCGGGTATATAAATAAATACCATTATGATTGTTTTGTTTTCACAATTAAATTTAAGTAAAACCATATCTTTAAATTGTTTTAAGATTTGTATTACTTTACATTTTGTTACAATATTTTTTCTAATCAACACTTATACACCACCTGAAGCTTTGAGGTAGACAAATTGCTCGCTTACACGAATACTTTCATAACAATCAAAATCACAAAACGTATTTACAAATTCATCCCCCATTTTTTGAAATGTTTCTTGAAACTAATAACATCATGATTTTCTACTATCTCATCAATAGACTTTCTGTCACGATATAACTTAGTTTTTAAACTTTCAATGTTCCATGACACAATTTTAATTTTGTTCTCCGAAGAGCCAGGTTTACATTTAAAATAATTGTCATATGTACAGTACCATGAGCCTTGACCACATCCTTATTTTCTAGTGACTTCTTGTAGATCTTTAGTTTCCTCATCAAAAGTGTACAGCTTACTATCGATCAAAATTTTATCATGACGCATCGAACCTTTGCTACCATTTTCTCTTGCACGAAGAAGGAATGGGCTTAAATTTTTCTTTGCTGTTCGAACATTTGGTGTAAAATCTTCGTTTACTCTATATGTTATATTTTGTTTTAGAACATCTTTAGCCGTTTTTAGCTAAGTTTCTGTCCCTACAGCTTACGAATTTCACAATAATCGGGCGCTTACTTTCTGTGCCAGGGACACGTTGTACATGTTCAATTTGTTCATTATCTGCAAATTCTTTTCCCAGTTCTAGTACCGAATCTAAGAAACCCATGTCTCTTTTTGCGTTGACGATGTATGACCTATATCTTTGAGCACATTGTCTACATCATTGGATCTGTTAATATCACTGGGTTTATCATCGACACCCATAAATAAAAAGTTGTTCCTACGCGAACCGGCCTCAATTTTATCAACCTGGTTTTCTAGGGACATCACCCGTGATTTAAGTTTATTGTTTTCTGTTTGTAAAATGTTTATTATACTGTCTATCTTATCATTTAGTTTCTATGTTCTGATTAACACCGGTCATCTCTGTTTTCAAAGCGAGCACATTTGTTGATATGGTAGTTATTTCCTGAAGAGTTCGACTGACTGAATCATTATCTCCCTTGACCCATGAAAGTTTTGATTGCGGCATTGACATTAATCATGTATTCGGTCGAATATCGGTTGTTGGGGGAGTGCACGGATTTAGTTCAACATCCCCACTAAGCAGCAAAATTGCACTGATGCACAAAGCTGTTCTCAAGAAAAGTTTTAAGTTTGTAATCCGATTAGGGTTCAACATCATGGCGGGATATTTGATTTTGTTCCTACCGACTTGATGACAAAATGAACCAATTCTCATCCTCCACTGGCTTATGTCACATCACATCTTCAAAATGTGTTGTTTGATGTTGAATAATAGTAGAAATAGTAAGTTTATAGCAAAAATCGAGGTTTAAATTAACCTATTTTCAATATTTTGGTTCTATGATTTTTTCAAACTTCCGCTCTTTTCACTGTAGGTGGCGCTTTTTTCGTGAGTTCGCATTGCTATACGACGTGTCTCGGTATTTATACATGCAACATTTATGTATTTAGTTATGATGTTTTTTTTGTAAGTCTGGTTGGATATTGTGTTATGTCTTATCGTATGTGGTTTGTATTCTATTTTTATTTTCTATATGTATGTAAAGTTAAGATAATTAATCAGCTATTTCATTTATATAATTTTTAGTTTAAAGCAACTATATGCACGGATTTTTTTTGTTTACACACAGTTTTGATTTAGAAGAAAATCGACAAGGTTAAAAATCTTAATAATTACACCATTTCAAACACAATTCCATTTTAATATTCTTGCCATGGTTAGAAAATACATAAAATAAAACCATTACAAACTCATCCGAATTTTATATTCTATTTTTAGAAATTTACCTGTGATAAAATAAACACCACAAACAATACGTCACTTTTTGTGGCGCTGATACATTTGTGTGACGGATAGTTCTTAATTCTATTGTGGTGTTCTGGTGTACTGTCGTAATTTCATGGGAGATGACCGTTGATATTCTGTGGTTTACATGTTGTAATGTACTATTATATTGTTTATTTATGTATTTCTCTGTCCTGAGTGTTCTTGCGTTTATTTGTACTGTATTCCTGTAATTTTAGCGGTATTTTTAACATTGCTATATAAGCGGGAGGTTTGGCTAGCCATAAAACCAGGTTCAACCACCATTTTTAACTTAAAATGTCTTGTACCATTTCAGGAATATGGCAGTTGTTATCAAATATTTTTTTTTGCTGCAGTTCAGTCTTTCTGTTGTTCCGCTGTTTTCCTTTTATAGTTGATGTGTTTCCCTTGGTTTTGGTTTGTGACCCGGATTTGTTTTCGCTTAATCGATTTATGACTATTGAACAGCGGTATACTACTGTTGCCTTTATTTAGTAGAGTTAATCTAAAGTTTACCTTTCATTCCTTTATTGCCTCAGTGGTCTCTTGACGGCGTGCTTGCATAGAGTGATGGTGGTCGCGTGTTAATCATTTGGCTTTGAATCATTGGATTTTGAATCAACAGACTTTTATTTATTTTCACTGGTTATCCGCCAACAACTTGCTAATAATTAATTGACAGTTTATCAAATTGATACGCCTAAAGACAATTGTGGATTTACCATCATATGGAACACTCTAGGCCAAAAATTGAAAGCCGTGGCTGCATTAATATTTAAGAAGCAAAGCTATATTAGTAAAAAGAACCTTAAAGGAATAGCCTAATATCTCATGTCATCTTTGGAATTATTAAGAAGTAAGACTGGTCGGCTTGTAGTCATTACTGATGTAGCCATATCAGTATAGAATAATAATTTTAGAAATACACACGAACACTTGTTTACTTATTAATAAAGATGTTCTACTGCATATATGAATTTCAAAAATATATAGATTTGATATGAAACAGTTTTCTAGAACTATATAAAATAGGATGGTGCATATATGTTGTTTATGGTACTAATGAACACGAAAAGGGTGTATTTGTAACTTGTTTCATTAACGGTTGTAAGAGCACAAGATAGAAGACCTAAACATTGTAACAGTTGTCATTATGGATCAATACTTCTGTAGCAACAGTTGAGTTAGTTAGGCAAGCTTTTAGAAAATAATGAACAATATAAAGATAATTATAAGATGTTGATTGCCACACACAAACGCACGCCACAAAGGTATCCAATGACACAACTCTTCACCAGAAATTTCGTGACTCGAAGTCTGAACCTTTAAGACAACTTGCGGCTTTCAACAATGAGCAAAACCCTTACCGCTTAGCAAGCTCTCAAAGGACCCTCAAGACAAATGTAAAATACTTCAGTCGAGAAAAATTAAGATCTGATGTATTTACAAAGCAATAAACGAAAAACAGATATGATATACAGCAACAAACGACAATCTCTGAATTACATACTGATGACTTGAGACAGGCACATACAGAATGTATCATATTTTATTTGTTGCCTGAGAACAAGGTCATTTCATCGGGTATCATTTAGGCAGCCAGTGGTAGCGGTCATCACATGTGTACTACTTTCCAGTATATACTCTTTTGACCGGACCCGATTTGGTGTTGTTATATCTAACAAAGTCTATCCGAATCATTTTACTAAAAAATCCGCTCAAACTGGTGCTAGGGGCTGTCTTAAACTTACAGTGAGGTGAAAGGTTTTCTTTTTTGTTCCGTGTTGAAGGCCTCACAGTGACTTTGAGATGATTAGCAGCAATAAAATAGCAGTCCCTTTGCTTTTTTTTTTTGCTGTGCTTGAACTCATTTTGTGTAAACCCCATATATCCTTTGTTTTTCTATCAAACTAGATAAACACTCAACGGAGTTTTTAATACATATTTGTTTTTATGTATCAGCAAAAAAAAACCTTGTGTGATGTAGAGGTTGAAACATAATCAAGTCATTTGTGAATTCTTTAAATACTTTTTGAATATCAATTACAAAGTTTAATTTTTATTAACGGACATGCGCAAATAAATGAAAACTTGTAAAAGTATGCGGAAGATATATATTAACTAATAAACACTGAACAGTCTAGTTTTGTCATCTAGTACAGGTAAGGTATTACCTTAAATTTCGAGTACTACGGCTTATAAAAAGTTCACAGTCAACATCTAGTTACTCAGTCTTAAGTTGTCTAAGAAGCGTTTTGTATTTGTCTTTTCGTCGGTTTTCTTTTTTTATTTGCCAAAGTTTTGTATTTTTTCGAACTATAATTTTTAATTTGTCCTTGAATATTAGTATCTTATTTCTTTGTTTCATAATTCTTATCCTATTTCCAAATGATGGTAGACTCAGATTCAACATTGAATTCACATACATTTTTTATGCATTGATTGCTAGAGGTTCATTATAACCTGTCGGCTAGAATGACATGAAACAAAACGTTTAAAGTATTATCAAAGACTATAATTATAACAGATAAATGAATTTGTGTTAAAGAAAAATGTTGTTAAAAGCTCAAGTTTATGACTTTTCTGAAAAGATATTCTGTTCATTGCACTTCAACGGTGTCACTGAAATTGCATCCTCATAAAGGAGGAAAAAAAAATAAAACATTTATTAATATTCAGTCAAACTATTTTAAATTTGTTCTCATTTAATTTATGAATGCACTCGAGGTATAATATATCGGCATCTTTATTTCACTCAATTACCTGATAAAATTTTTATTTTTTCAACATAAAAATTTGTATAATTAAATAATGTTTAGATATTCGTATGACATATTCTTAAAAATATAGTCATTTTTTTTTAATGAATATATGCAAGATCTTGAATTTTTGCATATTTGTTTGTTTTAAACGTGATATCGAAACTGTTCTTGTCTGAATTGAAGATTTCTTCTGACAGCAATGCCAAGGATAACAAACGAATAGCAAGCTTGCTATAGCTTCAGATTTTATGGTTGTAGCACAAAAAAAGCTTCTTCTTTTCATTGTATAGGGTTGTAAAAGTATTGCTCGTCTGCACATTTTAGAATGAAGCGCTTCGAATGATGAATTGAAAAATTAACAATCATACAATTGTATATAAAATCATTTTAGGTTGTCAGTGATGACATGGCTTCTATTGGTGCTTATAGTCGTCACAATAGATTTCAAAACCGAAACAGTATAGAAGACAGTAACAGCAGTGACAGTGATGAAAGAAAAATGGGTATTACTCTTTTCTCTCTCTTTTTATCTCTAATATGCATTATACTTTTAAAATGTTTACTTTGAAAATATCAAATGATCAAAGGATGTTCCTGTGTAGACTCCGGTCTGTCCAATTCCGATACCTATTATAGTACATGCATTATAACAGCCCATGCTTGTAAAAACCAAATTTAATGATACTTACCTCGGTTAAGTTGATGTAAATGTGTGATTCTATGAAGACTATTAACACTGAATGTGTTAGATGAGATAGTATTACACAACTTCAACCTCAGTGTTTATAGTGAAAACTAAAACTGTTTGTACAGTTCATCTACCCATCACAAAATATAAAGATGTACCAAGCACTAAAGTAAGAGCTGATGGGATGATGGGAGGTGGCATCTAACACCTGTGGTGTTATTCTATGTCGTCATAGAATCACAACTTAAAATCAACTTAACCAAGAAAAGTATCGTTGAATTTGATAATTCTATAACGTCATAACACTTCCGGTATTAGATGAGACTTCAAAACTACAGCATTTTTGGGGGGCTTTTTTTGTGTGCTTTTCAATGTTTTCCCTTTGACGGTAACAATGAATACCAGTGTTGCATATGATCAACAGATACACTTTGAAAATTATGCAACAACTAGATTCAGTGATATGCATTATGTAGCATTCAAAGATCATTAGTTCATTCTGATTAAAATACAAAATAATAAATCAAACATTCAATACAGTAGAATTTGAAACACCTTTTCTGCAAAAACATCACTTGTATTTACTGTCTTGTTATAAAATTCTCCCAGCGGTTATAGAACTTTACCAACCCGCTTTAGGCAAACTATCACTAACAGGCACATTATTTTGCTTTGATTTCGAAGTAGATGGAAATCGTGTACTGTGTGCTTCAAATATACTCGTGTCTATTCCTGCAAGACACATTATGGACGTAATTCATTTAGAAATAGTTGAGCAACTAACTTGTTTACGTGGTATAATATTACTAATTTTTTCACGTGGTTAACTATAACTTAATATTAATTAAACCTTTGTCGTGACGTCAGCCTATTTATTTACCGTGGATTCTTTTTCTAGAATCAACGCTTTCTAAATCTGTCGCTGAAATTGATTCACCAAATTATATTCAATTGTTTCCTTTGTGTGACTAATTTCATTAAGTTTGAATTAGCTAATTTACTGATTTCTGTTCACTAATGGAATTAATTTAAAATCTTACCTTTAATTTTTGTAATTTTTATATGCCTTCACTGGGAATCGAACCCGTCCTTGAAATCTGTTATGTGTGATTGACATCAACATATCGACGAAACCTCTCGGCTACCAATTGGTTACAATTTATATGTCTATTTTATATATATAAATGAACAAATGATATACATCGGTACAACGGACACACAGGGTTTGTACCTTTATATATACGTACTAGGCAATCGTATAGTATAAGTTGGTATAGCGAGTTTTACCGTTTATTTTTTGGATATTATTTGCTATTTTACATATTTGAAACGAAAATGATTACATTCAATTTGTCCATTTTTGTTTTTGAAAATATAGTACGATTTCATCTGTTTTACTACATAATTTTACAAATGTTTATTCGCAAATTCCTATGCGAGTAAATCGTGATGTGCCTAGAATTAGGCTTCTTGCTAGAAATTTCGGTAACATACTTATTATATATACTTTATATATGCTCTTTGTTCATGTTGTTGTCTCTTTGACACATTCCCCATTTCCATTCTCAATTGTATTAGAAATAAGTTCGAATATGTCTTATTTTGTAAACACAGATAATATTCAGATGCCTGATAAATTAAAGGCAGACGTGTTGTGTTATATTTGTATTTTTCTAACCAATTAGTTGTGATCTTATATTTAGTAATGCATCGTTGAACATGAAACCATGGTTATTCAAAAGGCTTTAATTTTGAAAAGACATTAACACAATAGTTTAAGTTATAGATACAACGCTTATTCATTGTATCTATATTACTGAATCCTTTCCTTATCTTATATCAGCAGTATGTCTTTAATATTCCTTTATCGCTAAATACACACATAATTTCCTGTCTGGAGGAAAATTTAAAAAAAAAACATTTCTGAATTCGTATATCTTGTCTGCTTTGATTCAGTAAATCAAATATCGTAAAACGAAAACAATCTTTCTGTTTTTGAAGATTGCCGAGTTTCAATAAATGAACACTTTGTGCTCTGGAAGCATTCTTCAATGCAATTAGTATGACCAGCTTTAAAGTTATTTTTTTATTGATACATCAGAACCTAGTGATGAGTGTCTCAAATATCTCAAAACAATAGAAACATCACAAACATTTACACCATTGTATGTTCAGTTGTCCTTGTACAGTAATGTCAATGGCTTTTTGTTCTCCTTTTTCACATAAGGATTGTTTATTAACAATTTCATTACTTGAACAAACCAATGTTAGGTTGGCTAAAGTGGTCCCACCAATAAAACGTCTGCCTTGTCTGTTATAAATATATAGTTTTCTTTACACAGCGTCCTATTCTGCTGAAAGGGTGGAATATGTAACTGTATGAATATTTACTCCAAACAAGAGTAAAAGCATAAACAAATTTGATTCTGGATCAGCTTTCCATGAACATAAATTGGTAATTAAATTGAGTATAAAGATGTGAAACAAATAAATGTATGTCTCGTCTATTCTATAGTAAACATACTTTTAAAAAATATATATCTTCAGTTGCCATTCTATCTGATCTTTAAAACTTCTTAACTGATAGTTTGATAGCTTTTTGTTAAATTTTCCTGGTATGTGGGTAGCTATTAACCATATTTAGTGTTCAATGCACCACATTCAAATTTTACTAACAATTTTATTGCACTCAAAAGACTTTATACCACCCATACTGGTTATATAGCTTACAGCATTTGTATTGTCTGTAAGTTGTTTAACATTTTCAACAGTATGCAAATTTTCTTAAATGATTTCAGAGCATAATAAACAGCTAATAATCCTAAACAATTAATATAATTAGCATGTTCATATCTGCTCCATCTGCTACCAATTCTTTGTTCTTTCAAAACTGCTCCCCACCCTAAATAAGTTCGGTAAGGGCCATATTTGGACCCGATTATTAATTCAATGTTTCAAAATAAAAAATGGTTTAAGTTGATGTAGAGACTTGTGAGAAAATTAAATAGATCATTTTTGTCAAAGATTTATTTTAAAGCGTTGATTCTACTTCCCAAATAGGCTACAAATAGAGATTTATGCAAGATTTGACAACATCGTACGGATTTCAACCAAATTAGGGCTAGGACATATAGGGCGCAGGCGTCGACAAACTAAATATTTAAGTCAGACAAATTTAAACATGTTATGAAAATATCTTATTAGTCGACGCAGACGCTTCGTGTTTTTTGTGTAAATAATTAATGGAAAATAACCCATGTTCATTGAATTTTCTTGGAAAATCAAAATGAGTGCTCTTTGTGATGTCATAAATTGAACGCAAGTACGTAAAATTTCAACAAAAAGACATACTTTCTATCTAGTAATTTCACTAGCTATGATTCATTGTAATATTGGTTAATAAATCTTAATTTGAAATTGGAGGGTGAAATAGTGACTATTTTAGGGCCTTACTCCTTTTATGCATCAGTCTGGATTGTTACCTGTGAGCTAGCTCTATTAAATTTCTTTTTTTTTAGTTTAAATATTTTTGGACCACCATACATTCAAGGTCTTCTTTCATATCTGAAGTTACAAACTCCAATAGCTAGATTTAATGTCTTATGTTTCTCTTTCTCTATTTTCTGAAATAGAGCTTATCAAATTCGACAACAGGGAAATTAGACATGAGTATCCCAAGTACTCTAGCTACTTATCTAATTTTCATTTATTTTATGTTTTTTAATTGTTTGCTTTCCTTAGCAATAGTGTTTCGTTTTTATTTTTTGTTTCAGAGTCAATGTTTAATCATAAAAACTTAATGTGCTGTGAGTAAATACTGACTCATCGTCATGTACTATGAATCTAAGTCTTGACATCAAATTAACATTTTCTGTCACAATATTTTTGCATTCAGGTTCAGTACCCAACATTAAAATAAACCATTTTACACAACTTTCGTAATTTTGGTAAAATGCCTTGGTGCCATATCTATACCAAGAATATTGAGGACATTTTCCTTTCCATACAAATCTCAATTATTTCCTATTCTTCAGCAATATTCACATAATAATAAACATGTCTAATAACTACACTTGACATGTATGACTTTTCTTTATTCAAATTCAAATCGCTTTCAAAAGAATCCATTTTGAAATGTTGATATGCAATGTGTGTATTAAGTTATTTCAAATTTGGTACCACTTTGTATTCAGTCATATTGTCTGTTTTGGTCGATTCATTAACGATTCAACGTCTGGAATGCATTCATTTTTTATATTTTTTCAACCTCTTAATTAACAATTTTCTCCTCCGTTATATTGAATTTAACATTTCTAATTGACATTTTACAAATGTGAGAATATTGTATATAAACTATATGTAACAATGCTGAACAGCATATTAAATGTATTTATCATATGATAGTTTTCTTCATTCATCATGTGTTCTTTAACAAACAATTTCTATCTTCCTGCTTGAAATTCATTTATATCTATACTCACAACATCTTGTTTCTGTACTTATTGTGTGGGTTTTCTGCTTGTTACGAGGTGGTTCATCAGAACCATGGACCTCGTCCACATCAAGTGTTAGTTCTTCCTCATTTAACCGTTATTAGTCAGCTTTAAAAACAATTAAGTAGTTTTTTTCAACGTTCTTTTTGTTCAGTATGGAGTCGGCCATCGTCGACAAATAGATGATTACGTTCACAAACTTGTGTAAAATGTCTCTTTTTAAAGACATATACTGTTATTTATATAAAACAACAGTATTGGGTTGTATACAATTATAATTTGTACAATTTGTTTGTACAAATTATAATTTGTACAAAATGATAACTTGTACACAACATATATATCTTAATTATATTTAAATGATTCATGTTTCCTTTATATTGCATTGATAAAGATATGGTTTTCTCACCATTGCTAACAAAAATTCATTAATTTGTTGAAATGACAACAAGGATAATATGTTATTCTCGATTCACCGGTTACACAATTGAAGTGCTGCATAAATATTGTTGCATGGATCATCTCACAGTTTTTGCGGTTTTTCTAAAACATTTTGCATTATACGATTTCTTTCAAATTAACAAGCAATATTTACTCCACTCTCATACAGGAAACAACTCTACTGAACTCAAAAGTATGAGCCCAGTCACGTTGAAATCAGAAATGACAAAGTCCATGGACGACGCAACAGATTGTGGTCATTCTTTGCATGGAATAAACTTGTCTACATTAATGACAAATAAACATTACAGCATTGTTGTTGGTATTGAAATTACAAACTTGACAAATAATCGTCTGACCAAACCAAAAACAAAGACATATTCAGGATACATATCAACTCCCGCTGTTTCAGTAAGACCTGGACACAAAGAAGCAATGGTAAATATTTATCATTTACTGTTCCGTTTATCTGTATTTGTGCCTTGCATTTCTTATATTGTTATAGTTATTTCACAAATAATGTTAAAATAAGTCAGGACATGCATGTTTCTTTTTGTTTTGGTTCAGAAAACCACTTAAAAAACCTTCAGCCTCAGTCACACATTCACGATTATTACAGCAGTTCTTGATAGGACCATTCCAGATTAGAATTTGTCAAAAGTCTGTTCAAGATCATGTGGTAGGTGGCTGAAATTATTAAATTAGTACAAATATTTATCTAATATATAATCACGACAACAATTATATATGGTTGAGGAAGCATTGCGATGCAGCCTTTTTCAGACGAATTCGTCCCGATTATCTCATTCTCAATCTAATTCTGATCCAATTTGTTAATTTCGCATGGTAAAACACGACCAACTCTGTTACGAAAGTATCAGGATTCCCCCGAATGTGTCCCGAAACAGAAATAAAACAATGACCAGATACTGAACCGACGCTGACGGAATCCGAAAAAAAACGGCATTAAAAATTTTCTCCAGAGCATGCTCGTTCCAGATAACACACTTGTAATTTTGATACAATATAGCAGAATATGTCAAGATTGTCATTGGACAAGCCAAATTCCCTCTTTAACCTGAATGTGATGGAACGCACCTAATGCGGCGGTCATGCATAGCCAATAACGGCTCCCGTTGAGAATCAGACAGCGCTATGACACGAAAATTTTCTGGAATGTCCTATCATTGTCCATACGCAGTCGTATACGTTCGTAACATAATCCTATGGATCGGCAATGGTCAGAGGAGGTTGAACAAGCACTCCCAACAGTTATATGCGTCCCACAACATTCGGGACACTGAGCTGAATTTATCAAATCAGATTACAATCGTGACAATGTCGAGACAGATCCTGCTGTATTGGATCAAAATCGTTACAACATCATGCGTAGGTTTACTGTCTGGTCTCTGTTGGGTCGCATTCGTGACGGTGTATAGATAGATGCGGTTGTTTTTTACCAGGCGAAAGATATAAATCGGGTCAAAAATTTATTTTTTACGATGCGAAAGATACAAATCGGAACAAAATCAGATTGAGAACGGGATAATCGCGACGGTTTCTATAAAAAATATCTGATTGTTGCCCTGATTAGATAAACATTTTTTCAAATTTCCATTCACAAATCACAGAATCGTGATCAGACTTTTAACAAGTTTTAATCGAGAATGGTATCGGTCTTATTTAGGACGGCAGTGAAAATATTCACTGTCAGGAGTGTTTGGTCTACCTCTCCGACTATTCCTGATCCGAAGATCGTAACGAACGCATACGACTGCGTTTAGACAATAATAGGACATTCCAGATCATTGGAGGTAGTAATCTGACTTTTTGTCCGTGTTGTAGCGCCGTCTGATTTCAAACAGTGTCCATAATTGGCACAGTATGATCAATTTAACTCCTAAAGTCTACTTTAGTTTCTGCCAAAAACAGAAAAAGGGAAAATATCACGACTCACGGCAATAACTTCTACAAGGGGACGATTGATGGTTTCTGTCATCTGACGTTTAAAACGATTCTGTCCTGCTGATCGTGTTTGCTTGGGTTGGTGATAAACTGGCTTGCAACAACGAAAAACGAAAATTCCATCAACAAAAGCCCCCTCCTAATCCACTTATCCATCCCCGGAAATGTAATGGTTGTACTTTTTAAAATTCCTGTCTACTTCGTCTCATTTTGCAGATTCAAGGAACCTTTCTTAAAAAAACTTTTTTTTTAAAAGAAAAACCTTAAATTGAATTAATCATATTAGTCATAAGTGTTTCTCGTTTCTCGTTTTTTTATATAAATTAGACCGTTTGTTTTCCTGTTTAAATGGTTTAACACTAGTCATTTTGGGGGCCCTTTATAGCTTTCTGTTCGGTGTGATCCAAGGCTCCATGTTGAAGGCCGTACTTTGACCTATAATGGTTTACTTTTACAAATTTTGACTTTGATAGAGAGTTGTCTCATAGGCACTCATATCACATCTTCTTATATCTATAGCATTTACTCGTGCTGTGTTATATATGTGTATAATCAAGTCAGATAATTTCCTCTGTCCAGTATATACATATAGGATCTATAAATTATTGGAAATTCTAATCAAAAGAAAAAACTATATATTAAGTAGTTAAATTTCGATTTTTTCCCTAGGAACCGTAGAGTACATGATTGCCATGTATCATAAATGAACTTTGACCTTTGTCAAATTGAAGTTCAATGAATGCTCAATATGTTTCACGTCATATTCATTCACTTTCTTTCTTTCACAACAAGGTTAAAAAATGCATTCTTCCTAGCAAACTAGATGTCAGACATTTTACTGTAAATTATTACATAGCAACAGTGACATTTTATATAAATAACCACACCATAAATGGGTGCGATGCAAAAAATGTGTAATCATACAAAATTATTTAAATGCCTGCTCGATTGCAGTGAAAAAAACACCGATATTTATATGGATCGACACTTTTTCTTTCTTTTTGAAACAGCTGTTCGTCTTCTATGTAAGTAATTAAAGATTTTATTGTTACAATTCTCATCAAATTTGTAATGAGTGTATGAGAACTCCTTAAAATGTTTTTCTACGTTAAAATATGCACTTTTGGGCCAAATCCAAGGGACCCCGATACCATGGCAACGGGGACACAAAATAATTGTCTCCATATTTCTGTTATGTTTATCAATAGCTATCAACAAATAAATAAAATTTCAAGAAAATTTGAGATTTTGCGTGCCGCAATTTTGCAATTGCTATTCATTATATTGGATTTGGTTATAACTTTTTTTATTGTTGATGATCAATGTACATGTCATCTACAAATCAAAGGGTACAGCGATAGGCACAAAACTTGTCCCAATATATGCAACTCTGGTTATAGGATATCTTAACGACATGCTTTACCATATAGCATCATTGATTTTATTTAAAGCCGAGTTATTCTTCAAGGAAAACTAAAGCGATATATAAAATAATCTACACCAATCCATAAAATTTAGCGTGGAATTTGATTAGAAACAATTACTTTTTTTGATATTTTAATCATAAATTAAGGTGAAACTTTCCCTTTAAAACATCGATTTTCATTAATATCTAAATTTCAGATCCTGCCAATAATCTCATACTAAAAGAAATCTGTTTCAACTTGTTAGATGTTTTTTGCATTATTGTTCTATATCATACATTACTACGAGGCATAACGAGGAAAGAATTGATGAAACAGCTACCCTCAAAATCTCATCGATGTAGCAATTGCGATAGCGTTAATTCCTTTCCAATTTTAAATACGAAGATCTCTAGATATATTTGACTTGAATTTTGTTATGTTACAAAAATTATATGGCCTAGAGAATAAATTATCAGCTCCTATGGTGACAGAATTTGACATCAGCAGTATTTTGACCGTCTTGTTTGCACAAAAACTATAATCAACATTGTCATTAAATTCTTCTCCTTACATAAGCGATTTGAAACATAGAACTTAGTTTTAAACATGTTGTTTTTGTTTCTTAGAACATGTAGAATATATATTTTAATAATCTTGAATGCGTAATTTTTAAATCTTCGTCCAGTTTCTTTGTTTTTTTAAATGATGAGTATCGATAAATCCACAAAACTTTTAGTTTGGATATCTTATTCATATTTTTAAATTTTAGATAGCACATAAGCACGGTTATACAATGACTGGATCAAGTGGAATTGTCTCTTGGCTAATACAAAACTACGAAAGGCGCCTTGTCATCGTCTGGAAATCGCCATATTTTAGAAGCAACAGTGTGGGTATTTGCCTAACGACGGTTGGTAATGAAACTCATAACGATTCCTGGTTCAACATTATAAGAAATAATCAAAAGTGTAAGAAACAACTGAAATATAAATTTTCTACGTTTGACGATACGAGCGATGAAATAATGATTGATGATGGCGATTTTCAGGTATTTTGTTCCATGGGAACTAGCAGTAAACCAGAAGTTAAAATAACACTGCGCCCGACAACAACACAGGATCAATCTTTTACAGGACCACAATAGTTGATGGATGCAATTTTGGTATCTGTGTTTCAGTTGCGTAGGAGTAGACTGAAAAGTGATGGTAACAAACTTCTGATACTGACCGAAAAAACCTTATATAATCTAAACGACTAGGTTTGGAAATATGACAGTGAACTCGCTCATTTTCATTGTATTTTAATTTTTTTTGGCTTAATAGTCCCTGTGGTGAGGAGTGCGAGCTGACTTTTATTCCAATCATACAGACGATATAAAGTAGGACTAAATTATTTTAAGTTGAATAGTATGTCTATATTAGTAATACAAGTAAATCTTTCATGAGTTTTTAAGACTTTCATGGTGTTTTCAATACTTAGTACGTATCCGAATTTCCCAAAGTTTCAGCAGCTTCCAACGATTGTCCTGTGATTTAAAGATATAATCCAAAATTATCCGTTCCTCTTATACTCATCGTCAAACGTGAATCAATTTCAAAAATGTCATATATTTGTAATTAAGAATCAGTGTCTCATAACTGCAATTATTCTGTGGGATTTGGAAAATATTTTGAGTCTCATTCACATCTAAACTGAGGAGGACAGTGTAAGTTTCTAACATCACCAATATACTTCATGTGGCCGATACATCAATATATTAACCTAATCTTAAAGGCTATAATTGTATAACATATGAACAAAATGATATGTGCACAAATATAATTTCAGTATCTACTGATAACAAAGTTGAAAAGAAAAATGTCGATGTTGCTGTACTTCCGAAATGTTTGATACTTAATGAAATGTATGGTAATTTGCAATGAGATTCATAACTCTTAAATATTTATGGTTCATTGCCCTAAAAATGTTCTAATATGTTTTTTGATGCATGATCATTCGTTTAACGCTTTCTCCGGATACTAAATTGTGAGGAATTTTTGTTTGGCGTAATCTTTTTTTAAATTATAAAGGAAAATAGGGCTAATGTAAGCGTACTTTAATTCCGCCGAGTATTTATTGTGGGTAACTGTTTTTCACTAGAGAATATTGGATGTAAATAGTGTGAAAGCGTCGAACTTGATATCGTTGTTTTGTTTATAATAGACCGGTTTATTGTTTACATAAATAAATGGGTTAAAATAAAAATGATTTTCAAGGAACCAGTTTAATTCATCTGAGTCAATCTAGTAAATGATATTGATGATAATGAGGAGGATGTTTTTATAACTCAATATACGTTATCAATGACCAGGACATTGAACTTGATATAAACGAAATTTAAAGAGCAGATTTGTTCTTACGTAAAGTTTCAATTATAAAAGCATCCTTTGATATTGACATAGAAGATATGATTTTATATCCAAGTCGACCGAAAAGCAAATACACAGAAAAACTTCGACAATCTAATAAATATAAATATTACAATTAGTGACAATTTAAAAGCATATGATTTTATAGATTTGCAAAGAAAAATTATTTAAATCTTATTCGTTAATAAGCGCTATTGTGTTATCGTGTGTTCAAAATGAGTACTAATCACTTCATCAATGTATGGATCTAAAGCACTAGTGTAATTAAGGGAGCTACCATTTGATTTTTATGGGGGAGGGCTAGGATGAAAAATTGTGTCCTGCCTTTTTTTTAAGTTGTAATCTCTGTCCTGCCTTTTTATTTTCACTCTATTCGGTCCTGTCTTTTTTTTTAGTTTTTCCTGACCTTTTTTTTTACATAAATTGTCATCCTGCCTTTTTTTTTGCAAAGTTGCTAATCCTGCCTTTTTTTTTACTCAAAACTCCTGTCCTGCCTTTTTTGTTCAAATTTCATCCTAGCAGAGTTTAACTTTTTTTGAAGGTGCGCCAACCCTCCCCCTTACATTGCCATGGAGCAGTGGTGTAAAAGTACAACATAACAAAAAACTTTAAAAATCAGTTGAAAAGGGCTTAACTCATCAGATCGATACATAGCAGAAATACATCTAACAAAAACACAAAGTGGACGTGGCAGGGTACTTATAAATCCCCACAACAAAAAGACACTAAGTACAGGTCTGAGAGTACTCACAGTTACTGACAGCTAGTTCAAAGCCAATAACAACTAATAAAAAATGCATGCATCTAAAACTAAAATATCAATCAGTACACATCCAACATCCAATGGATTTAGTGTGAAGACGTCATTAACAGTCAGAGAAAAACATGACCATCGACAGATTATAGAGCCATGAATGTGCATATGTATATAAAAAAAATATTTAGTTTGATTTTAATTTACTGATAACAAAATCAATATTAATACCAATAAAATAATATTAAAAGATCTAGTTATAGTGTTGATTAAGTAACATTTTAGAATAAGTTTTTTTAAGAGGCTGTGCCAATAAGCATGGATCTTCGTACTGTACAAACCTTGAATGTGCAAAAATTTAGATTCAGTTTAAAATGCTCTTAATTGATTTGTTATATCATAAAAATATGTTTAAGACAAAAAAAATATTGTCAACCACGTCCTTACATCTAGTATCTAAGGTAAATGTTTCCTTAGTTACGAGTCCAAAGAGCGTACCAAAAATTAGACAAAATTCAACACATTTGCAGGTCACCTGGAGCAAAAGTGTGACTAGAAATGTGTTTGTTGTTACAAGTACAAAGTAAGGTAACCATTGCCAATCATATAAAACATTGTTATCAGTGATAATGTTTTTGTAATACGTTGCTATGGCAACGGGAAAATGCAAAGAATTGGAAACATTAAGGAATAAGATCCAATTTGTATCATATGTATACAAAAATCTGGACTAACAGTGATATGATGTATATTGTTTTCATAATATTGAATATCTTTATTGTTAATAAAAAAAATAAAATTGGGTAGACTTTAAAGAAATTTTTTTTTGCTGACGGTTTCAAAAATGCCTTTTTTTTTCCTTTTTCTATGTTTTTCTGAAGTCTACCAGAATTGGTCTGTAGACTACAATGACCTGGTGTCATCCTACTGCTTATCTGCTAATATTATTATACTGTTAAGTTTCATGATATAATTGTGTATAGATGGAATATGCCAATTATTTAGTATTTGGGACTAAAAAAGGCGGGTTCAGGGTTTGAAAAAGGGGGGGGGGGGATAATTTTTTTTTCTTCAAAAATTAGTTAAAAATGTCTAAAATTTTTACCATTATGAGCATTTAAAATTCACAATTTTGAACCCTCTTTTATTTCATCAACCCTGGTTATGCCCCTCTAATTTGATATTAAGTCCTAAATTTTATAAATGATTTTGAATTTTTTTTTAAATATTCAGTTCATTCATTCCAACCTTTCCACATAAACAAATGAGATTTTTTTATGTTTCACAGCTGATAACTTTACAGAGTTAGAATTCACTCTAATTATTGATATAACTTCCTTTTTATAAGCAAAGCACCCACAACATCCTATTAAAATAACCTAAATGTTAATTATTTGCTTTATTTCAACTATGGTCAAGCATCTTTAATTCAAAATCTGTTGACTCAATCAGCTAATTTACATGGCATTTTCTGGAAGTTTTTTGAACCAGTTTTGTTGCGAAATTTTACACTATTGTTCAAGACTAGTAGGGTTGAACACTTGTAAACAAATTACCCCCTCGCCTCATACATTCGTTAAGTGCCTGTCTCAAGTCGGGAGCCTGTGATTTAGTGGTAGTCATTTGGTCGGGTTGTTGTCTCTTTGACATTTACCCCATTTCCGTTCTTAATTCTATTTTTATTGGTTGCTGACTGCCATAATAATTTCTTAGTTTATAGTTTAAGCCTAAATCAGGCATGGGTTTTTTCATTTATTTGTTTTAAACATTTGTTCATGCTGTTGGCTTTTACATTGTTTAGATATTGCTATAGAGTATGGGGTTTGCTCAATGGTGAAGGTTGTAAGAAGACCAATAGTAAATAAGATTTACATCATTTTTGGTATTTTTTGTAATTTGTCTTATTGGCAATTATACCACAACTCCTTATTTGAGTTCATCTGACACAAAAAAATCCGTCATTTTACTGAATCTACTCTCATTTTATAACTGATATATATATCCATGGAAGGATTATACATTAAACTTAAACTGCATTAATGTTTTATCTATTGTATTAGTATATAAAATATTTTTTTTATTTTTCACATCAGGGACGGTTTTGAATACAAATATTGTTAGGTCCAATTTGTGCCAATATCATACATTATTTTCTATACATGTGATCTCCCTAATATCTGATGAATTAGCTTTAAAAAAAAACTCTGATTAAAATATATTTGCGAAGAATAGAAACTTTTCATTGCAGTTGTATTCCTTTTCATCAACGCCAACTTGAAAGAACATTGATCAATTTTGCAGGACAAGGTGATGCAGAGATTGATCACCAAATAAATTACAAATATGAAGAGATTGTCAAACATTTATGGAGTCCCTTGAGTGCCATGTAAATATAATAGATATTTTCATTTGCTGGAGATTAAATGTGATGCGGACCAGTTTGAAAAATCGTGCGCACAACTTTTTAACTCGTGCACAACTTTTAATAAAATGCTTCGCCGAGCACAGCCTGATACGACAGCTGAGGTCAAACCCTGAACAGTTGGTGCATTTTTGGACACAATATTGAAGCTTGATACTGTATGAATTTGGATTGTGATCAAATTTTTGACATAATATAGCCTGACACAAAATAAATGTGGTGAAAGAAAATGGGTCAAAATATTTTTATTAATTCTCAATTAAAGATTTCTTGCTATTGCGCAATACTTTGCAATCTGATGTTTTTTGCTTATTGCGCAATACTGTGGCGTTGAAGATTTGCTGCTATTGGAAAATACTGTGCAATTGAAGATTTTCTACTATTGGGCAATTCTGTGCAATTGAAGATTTCTTGCTATTGTGCAATGTTGAGATATTGCGCAATACTGTGCATTTGGATATTTCTTGCTATTGCACAATACTGTAGAATTGAAGATTTCTTGCTATTGCGCAATTTTGTGCAATTGGATAATTCTTGCTATTCATTTCTTACTATTGCGCAATACTGTGTAATTGAAGATTTCTTGCTATTGCGCAATACTGTGTAATTGAAGATTTCTTGCTATTGTGCTATTGCTCAATATTGTGCTATTGCTCAATACTGTGCTATTGCACAATACTTAATATAATAATTTACACATCCTGTTTTGGTGTGTTTCTCCTACCATATCAGTACTTTTTATCTTATATATAAATCAGAAATAATCAATGGAAAAATGGAAAAATGGAAAATTTTAAGGAAAAAAAACCAAAAAATTATGAACCCCCTCCCCCCAAAAAATAAATTTTTTGAACCCTACTTGGAGTATTTACCC